ATTATTATTATTATTATTATTATTATTATTATAAGATGTCTTAATAATTAATAATTGAATATATATCTTCAGTTGAGCCTATCATTTTCAAAAATTTTTGAGGTTATGTCAAAAAGATGAAAGAAAAAATTGTTTTATAAATACAATTGGACCCCTGAAAAACTTTTCAAAACACGATATACGATATTGACGATATACGAATTACGTAGCAAAATATGTACAATAGGTATTAAAAATGAAATAATTTGAAATATTGTTCTTCTTCGTAATAAAGCAACAGTAATATATCTATCAAATAACTTGATAAGATAAATCACTATTGTTATTTGCATTTATTATATGTAATATTCTTTATCCACTTATTTTTCTTATCCGTTTCAATCATCTCTTTAAATATGAGACGATTCATTATAATACATGTCTTTTATTATCTTATAAATGTTGCATGAAAAATAATGAAAATAAAAATGAACAAAATCTTTTGTAATAAGTTTAAAAATTCAATGTTAAGACAAATTTAATGCGAACATTTTAAAGTTCTTATTTGATTGATCCTTTCTTTCGATTTATTTAACCATAAGAATTTTTGAAAAACTTAATCATCAAAGGATCAATTAACAATGACGATTGATAAAATCTTATGTTGGCAAACATAACACCATGGTGTTACGTATTTCTGTTTCCATTTCAAATTTACACAAGTATCTTAGAAAAATATCGGTTAAACTAATAGTATATAACAATCGACCTAACGAAGGCTCCACGTGTCGTTTCAGAAAACGACCCCCTCTATCATTACATTCATTTTACAAACCTGATCATTACTAGTTCGTTAACAAATATAATATCGTTAAATTATCGTATCTCGCTACAACTCGTATAAGAGATTTTTCCATTATGTCAAAACAATTACGAAATATAAAAACAACTTGTATTAATAATAATAATAATAATAATAATAATAATAATAATACTACTACTACTACTACTACTACTACTACTACTACTACTACTACTACTACTACTACT